TCAGATTTTTTGAGTAGTGCATAGCACACCCTTGTGGTCACTCTTGTTATAACACACACGACTTAACGACACCCTTTTCTATTACTACAATACTGGACCTTTATTACATTACTTTAAAACTTCTGGTTTGTCACCTGCAACATATTTGTAAAACATATTTATTTATGTAGCCTACTTTTAATTGTTTTTAATTATTTTTTATATATTAATATTTGTCAACAGATTTTTACCAACATTTATGCAAATACTTTGCAGCTTGTAACTTGGCAAATAACGTTTTTGATCTTTATAAAGTTATCTAGGTTGTTTAGGATCGTTTAGGTTGCCCTAGCCTATGTCCTTACACTGTTGTAAATGTTATCAATCAAAAAATTTAATAATAAAAAAAAAGACTTGTGCAGCAAGTTTTAAAACGAGCTATTTTTGTGCTATAGATAGTTTTATGTGTGATAATAGTTCAACAAACATAGATCTCACAACAAAAACTGTTCTAATGTGGATTCTGACACAAAAAAAAGTGCATGATTGGAAATCATTTAAATGGAGATTCACATTTAAATGCGCCAGCCTTAAAAATGTGTGTGAATTTCCATAAGCAAAAATATTTAAAACAGCCTAGTGAATTTGCATGTTCATGAAAACCCAAGAGAGCAATATGTGATGCCATTATTCACCAACATGCAACAGGTTTTAAATGTCTGTACATAACTTTGATTACAAAAATAAATAAATAAATCTTGTCCTCAGGCTATCACATTGTTTCAAATAGGAAAATAGCCAATGTATAGATTACAGTGCTAGAAAATTGTTAATGTCCATACCAAGTTTGTTCAATTTTTCAGAACAAAACATTTGTTATCAAATCCTCTTTTTTGCATTAAAATCACTGTCTAACTGCATCCTCTGAATTGACATTATCCGCCATTAATCTCTTTAATTGCTCCACAGACTCTAATCTGTTATTACAAGACCAAAGAGTGATGTGGAAAGAGCAGGTAAATGGGACTGGGATCTTCTGTCCTCTATTCTGATAGCTCAACCAAAATCAACTTAGTATGGATGGCAGACAGAATGTGTACTAGAGAACAGGACCTTATGGCATGACTACAAGAAGCCAAACAGAAAAACTGCCATTGATGTGATCCAGAATCTCACCAGGGGGCAGTATGACATAATGGAGCAAAGCTGTTCTCCATATTGTATATGTTGTGCAGGTCTGCTGTTTCACTGAACTGCATTTCCATCTACCTGACTATATGACAATAAAGATTATAAAGTGACATCTTTGCCTAATGAAAAATTTGAGATCCTAATGTACAGAGTTTCAAAAAGAGCAAGTGACTGAATTAAACCCACCATTTCACATATCATCATTTTATGTTTCAGGGTAATAAAAGAGGTCAGTAATATGAATACATAATTGTACGTAATTAAGGGTGAAAAGTGAAAAGTGAAACTGAATTTAAATTTAAGTATGATCCAGCTTGGGTATTATCACTTGCTACTTGCTTGAGACTAAAATAAGTTAATATATATATATTTCATATTTTCACTTTTCACCCTTAATTACGTACAATTACGTATTTATATTATTGGCATAATTAATTGGAAGACCTCTTTATACACACACACACATATATATATATATCAGATCTGATTTTTCAGCAGCCATTACTACAGACTTCATTTTCACACAATCGTTTAGAAATCGTTCATATATACTGATTTGGTGATCAAGAAACATTGTGTTTTTGTGGAAACCGTGATATACTACCATTAAACGTTTGGGGTAAGTATGTTTCAGATAGAAGATAGATAGAAAAGGATGTCCACAAAAATATTAAGCAGCAATTTTCAGTAGCCTACATCAAAACACTGATAATAGTAAGAACCATGATTTATAATTGAGTGTCATTAATAATTGATAATTGAGCACCAAATCAGAATGATTTCTCAAGGATTATGTGACACTACAGACCGAATAATGGCTTATGAAAATTAAACTTTGCCATTACATTTTAAAACATTAATATAGAAATCTGTTATTTTAAATTGTAATAATATTACATATTATAATGTTACTGTTACTGTTGTTACTGTAGTTAGTGGGTAGGCTATATCATATTATGTTATCTTATATACACTGATCCTACTAGGTCAAATTCACTTTGTATACACTATAAACTTCATTTCCCAGAATGCCCTACTGTCTTCCACCCCCAGTCCAGCCGGTGTATTTGGATACAAAGTCAGCCTTAGGAGTTGACAGCCAGGTCCATGGAATAGATCGTCTTTTCTCATAGGGAAAGGAAACAGGGGAAGAACCGATTCGATTCAGATGAACGACAGGCCGACGAACTGACCCAGCTGGGAGAACGATTACAAGAGCATCCTTCAGTGGAATTCGATGATGTGTAGCTACAACAAATGGGAATATTTCAGCGTTATGATACGCCCATGCGACGAGCTGTGTGGATGTTGTGATGTACGGTGAACGATCCAGGCAACCACAAACATACATCAGAATTCAGAAAACCGGTTGTTTTGACAGGAGGAACGCATGGATACTTAACCACTGATCTCTGGATTATAAGAAATATTGTTGCAGAATATAGAAAGGAATTAGGTGGATATTATTGTTGTTATTATTATTATTATTGTAAAGATGGTGGACACATCTTGTTTTGGCTTGTATTTGGGCAACATAAACACATTATGGAGAATTTCATTGCCTAATCGCGACGACCTGGATAAAAGTCACCTTAATGCAAGCCATCCGCATCACTCTCATTCTTCATAGAAAATATCTCAATATCGCTGTATCGTAATAATCCAAGACCAAGCTGAAGTTTCGCTTGTCATACATTTCTATTTATATATAGGCTACGCAACTGATTCCAGCTTTATGAATCAACTGCTCTATGACAATAAAATGTCTACTGTTAAAATGACAATCATGGAAAATGAGGACGAAATGATCGAAGTAAGCACTTGCACATGCGTTTCATAGAAATAACACGAACCGACAGTCGATTTGGCTTATGACGTGGATTAAATTGCAAACAGTAGACGTTTAGTAGCTGTTGTAACGTTTGTCGATGAAATATTAATACGCCGAATATATGCCTTTCTTGAAATGCAAATCGATAAATATGTGGCGTACATTATGCATGACGATTAAAGCTAATGACAACCACGGTTCTGCCAGCTCTGTGTTGTGAGTCTCATCTTAAAATGGACGCGCGCTTTCCTTGAACTGTTTTATAGCATTCGCGATGTACCGGATTTATACAACACAAGAGAAACTCGAAGTAACTATTGCGAATGTGCAAATAATTGTGGAGGTTTTGAGATCGCGAGCTGGTGCATATCTGTGAGCCTATCAGAGCTGAATGTCTGAGGATGCCTTAAGTCTGCGCATGCATGTGTTTAAGGCTATGAATATTCATTAACATCCATTGCAAAAAAAAA